ATTTAAATCAAAATTTTCTTTTATAAAATTTAACTTTTATATTCTACTAATACTAAATTAATGTATTTATTGTTTTTATATTATTTTATATTATTTATATTAATGATATGAATATATTTAAAATTTGTGCAAAATATATATAATAATATTTTAATTTAAAATCCTATCATTATGCAAAATAGTAGTAACACTAGACTATTTAAATTAAAATCTATATGATATTTAAAAAAACTTTTTTGAGAAACTAAAAAATTATTATTCTTGTAAAATAAGTAATAATTTATCGACTTTTTAATGTATGGGAACAATTTATTAACTTAATAACACTTTATACAAACTGTATCGCTTCGTCATGCACGATAAATGAAATATGCCTTTGAAATATGGCGGAAAATATCTCACATAAAATAGAAATAATAATCGTACAATCTCAAATATAGGATAAAGAAACATGTAGCAAAAATTTCTTTGTTAGCCGAATGAATAAATACATTTATTGGAATTATTTTTTAAAGATAAACATCAAAAATAAATAATGTCTTATCCACGTCACGACGGAGTTTTATAAATATCGCATTTTAATATTTTTTATGTAGTATCGAAGAAAAGATTGAGAACAAGAATGATGTAGAATTTCTACTTTTATTGCGAGGAACAAATGTCTCAAGAAACAACTCTTAAAGAAATTAGAATGCATTTTTTTGATAAATTTCAGGCTTTTAGTTATTTTTTAAATACAATACTAATTTTTTATTTTATTTTTTTTAACTCAATGTCGATTCCTGACGCTTGCTGTAAAGAACTTTGAACAATAAAATTATAGTTTAGACTATGTATAACTTGCGACACGAATATAAAATTAATATTAAATATTGGAATATATTTTTTTAACTTAGACTTAAACACTAATTGTCAATGATCGATGAAACGAGCAATAACTTGTTTAAGCATTTAAATAGGGATGTTATTTGAATAAGTTCTATATCACCATTTACAAAAGGACTTTTGTCGTGATTCCTCTTTCTCTCTTTTTTGCATCTTTACAAAGTGAGAACATTTTCGCCGTAAATCTAAATTTTAATTTTATGTTCACAATAACGATAACAGCTATCAGAACGATCGCAAGTGAAGTAAAATAGTTGTAAGAGCTCTTTGTTGCGATTCGTATGCCTTAATATTTTTATAAAAGGCTTTCGAATCGATGAAACTTCGTAGATATGTTAACGCGAATCTTGATAGTGAATTATACACATACATTTTGTCGGCAAACTATTCCTAGATGCCATTGAAAATGACGATGAAGATAAAAATGGCTGAAACGAGAGGTCCATTGGTTAATGAAGGAAACGAATTGAGTAGTTGTGACCTAAAAATGAGGATACATTTATTTTGTCTTTTTATGATCAATGCGATCTAGGTCACCAGAAATACAAGTACTTCTCATTTTGTTCACTTCAATATTAAATAATAAAGGACTGTGGAGGAATTCTTTCTTCTTTTCTTCCTTTTTTTCGTAAATTAATTATATATAACTATATATACATATATATATATATATATATATATACACGTATATATATTTATATATATGTATATATAATATATATTACATATATATTATGACTGAACCATCGACACGCATGTGTTTCCACTCTTCGGTGTCTGTTCTTAATATTTAAGTAACATTATCGTACGAATCGCACAAAATCACACCAGTTTTTCCGGTTTTAGTTGCTCATCTTGCGAGACTGGCACGCACCCTGGGTGAAGGAAAATATAATGCACCGATCACTGTTGTGACTTGATTCCTTTTTTAATCCCTCATCCCTATTTCCCTGTGATTTCATTTATATTTCAACAAAAGTGGTGTCGACGTTGTATAACGCGCACGCGTTTTAAGGCTTTTTCAGTGGAGATAAGATACAAACGGGAGATTATAATGAAATTGAATACAGAACGCACTTGGTGAAATGTTTTATGTTGCTGTTGTGTACTTGCGTATGTGTGTATATGTATATACGTGTATAATGTTGTATATTACATAAGATTTTTAAAGGTATGACAAAATTAAAAAAGCATAATGTTTCATCAAAATTAAAATTTCTGATGTAAATTAATTTCATAAATGTTCTGCCTTTACACAAATATGTGGTCCAAGGTAATATTATGCATCTTTGAATTCTGAGGATTTTTCTTTAATCCTTATATTTTCCAGATACTAAAGAAATAGAATTATTCATGATGATACAATAAAGAATTTAATATGCACGGAAATATCAGCAAAAAACTTATTACTTTTTGAACTATGAAAAAAAATACCCAAACTGAATTTTTTTGACAAAATAAAATAAACGCTTAATATATACATTACTGATAAAATTTCTCACTAGAGCAAATATCATATTGTTAACGTTATAAACACATTTTTTTTTTTTTTTGATTAAGGAACAATCAGACTAAATTTTTAATTTATCTTGATTAATATTCGAATCTACACAATATGTTATAATAATAATTTGTTAATTTTTCCTTTCTTTTAATACTTTTCCTCTTCTTCATTCACTAATTAATAATTTTTCTCAATACTTTAAAAAGTAGAATTTAGAAAAACTTGCATGTGAAAATCTTCAAAAGTATACACAGAGAAGAAAAGGAAAAGATCAAAAAGAGAGGAAAGTAGAGAAACTTTTATCATCAACAAACGCATTTTTATACATTTTATACATACATATATATATATATATTTATATATATATATATATATA